TGAGTCTTTTACGTGAAAGTATTGATTTCTAATTGAATAAGTGTTGTTGAGTTTAATTGATTCTTAAATGAATTCTCAGTTTTGTAGAGTTTTATCAGTAAATCTGACCTTTTCTTTCAAAAGATGTTATAAGTTAATCTCTTGATAAATTTTTTATTCTACTAATAATTTGTTGCTTGAATGAAATTTTTTCCTTAAAATGTTTGCACTTGAAGGTGAAACTCTGTTTTTTGAGTCATCCGTTTCTTAGGAGTGTTTCGTGCTCCTGAACATTTTTGTTTACTATGATGTTTTCCCTTTCTTTCTTTTGTATCTCATGTTCCATGGCTTCATTAATTGGCCGTTACTTTCCTCTTCCCACAGAGGTACACTTGAGTGATTTTAAGCTCGTTCTAAGAGACAGAACATGTTAATGGACATAAGAATACATACCTAATGTTGAAATTCGTCATTGCACCTTCTACCCGGGATCTCTTTATTAACAAGTGATTAATGTGGTTGCTATTTGCTTCTGCTGGTACCTCTGATTCCACTTATTTCTTGTATTTTAATTCTTATAATTGTGCTTCTGTAGGACTAATGACTTCTGACCAAAAGAACAAACATGTCTGCTCAGCAAAGTCGGAAGCTGAGATGAAACTTAGGCGACATGAAACGTATAGACTAATATCTGCCGGAAAAAAAAGAAGCACTATTACTACAACGACGAACAAAAAGACAAGAGTAAAAAAAAAGTAATTTGTCCGACAATGATGGTTTCCATGGCACTACTGAAGCTGCATTTGAGTTTCAGCAACAAACTGTTCCTCTGGTGGGCTCTTCAGCAACAGGTTAGAATACATCTTTTGTTCTTTTACTTTTTGTAGAAGTGTCGCTTCACGGTCTTTGCATGTGAGTTTAATTAAATGATGCTAATTGTGTGATGTTTCCCCTATTAGCCAACGAGCCTCACGTTGATGCTTTGCCGGTTACAATTGAAAAGCAAAAGAATATAACTTATCCCTTCTACTCCTTTGAAATAGGCAAGTATCAAGGATACAACATTGAGTTATATATCTACGATACATAACGTCTTTATTATTGCTAATTTATTACTTTTTGGCATTAGGCTCATCGTCACATGCATGTAATGAAAACAGTAGTATGAGCTCAAGAATGGTTGGAAAAAAAGGTTTGCCCCAATCTTTTATTATGATAGTATTGTATATTACCTAATTGGTAGTATTATGCTAATGATACCTAAATATACAGGTTATAACTCACAAAAAAAAGTTGTTCATACGTTGGTCAATTACAATCTGATTATATTCCCTTGAAAACTGTGCCTAACTGTAAATTTTGTGGTGCCAAAAAATTTGAATATGAACCACTTGGATTTTGCTGTAACAATGGTTCGATCAAGTTAGTTTCACATGAGATGCCTGTTGAATTACAGAATTTATATTTAGGAACTACCGAAGAATGTAAACATTTTCGAACATATATCAGAACATACAATAATATGTTTGCATTTACATCACTTGGTGTAAATTATGACAAAGAATTAGCAAAAAGAAATCGTGGTATATATACATTTAGAGTTCAAGGGAAGATGTATCATTTTATCAATGATTTACTTCCTCCGAGTGGAATAGCAAGAAATCTACAACTATATTTCTACGACAACGACAACGAATTAGCTAACAGAATGGCTTGCTCAGACAAAATCCATGAATCAATAGTCAAAAAACTAATGAATATACTGAGAATTAATCCATATTCTACTTTCTTAAAATCCCTAATAGATGTTCCAAATCTATCGAACTACAATATTGCACTTAAATCTGACTCAGGCTTGGATCAACGTGTATACAATCTTCCTACTACATCAGAAGTTGCAGGGATATGGGTTGAAAGAGAAATCACTGAAGTTAGTTCTGCACCTCATATTCGAATCTACACTCACAGCAATAGATCTCAAATAGTGAACTACTATTACGGATGTTATGATCCGCTACAGTATCCACTATTGTTTCCATATGGTCAAAGTGGATGGCACTGTGGCATTAAAAAAATTATACAACCAAAAGATACTTCTAAACGTCGAGCCTATTGTGAACACGAAGAATTACCAAGTATTACAAATATGTGTTCTGTTGATGGATACCTTGACATGGAAGCTCAAAATCTTGAAAAAAGGAAACGAAAAAAGAGATAATATCTCTCTTCGTGAATATTACTGTTATAAATTCCAAATGAGAGAAGATGAAACAAATGAAACTTTGCATTCTGGAAGATTATTCCAACAATATTCAGTAGATGAACACATAAAACTTGAAACACAGAGATTGGACTTTTTTTCATTCAATCCAGATCTCTTTAGGATAGAAATGCTGCAAGGACTCATTGATGTTTTAAGACTTGGAGAAAGAGACGCTTCAAATATAGGAAAGCAAACATTCCTTCCTGTTACTTTTATAGGCGGACGAAGAGACATGCGTCGACGCAACATGGATGCTATTTCTTTGGTACAACAATTTGGAAAACCTGATCTATTCATAACGATGACTTGTAACCCATCTTGGCCCGAGATAAAAGAGCACTTGCTACCAACCGACGAAGCACAGAACAGACCTGATTTAATTAGTCGAGTTTTTAGAGCAAAGATAGAAGAACTAAAAATAGATATATTAAAAAGAAATATCTTTGGAAAAGTTGCAGCTTTTATGTATACTATAGAATTTCAAAAACGTGGTTTACCACATGCTCATTTTCTTATTATACTTACTAATGAATACAAACTACTCACTCCAGAATCTTATGACAATATTGTTCGTGCTGAGTTACCTGATTGTAAAGCTGAAGAAACCTTATATAAACTTGTTCTCCAACATATGATGCATGGACCTTGTGGTAAGTTAAATCCTACAAATTCATGTATGCAAAAGAAAAAAGGTTGTTGCAAATTCAATTATCCAAGAAGCTTTGCTGATCAAACATCAAAAGGAAAAAATTCTTACCCAATTTATAGAAGACGGAACACAGGACTTGTGAAAGTCAAAGATCATTATTTCGATAACTCATGGGTTGTCCCTTATAATCCATTCTTACTTGGAAAATTCAATTGTCACATAAATGTTGAAATTTGTTCAGATATCAAAGCTGTTAAATATATTTATAAATACATCTGCAAAGGACATGATAAAATTGCATTTCACATACATGACAATGACGCAAATGTTGAAGTAGATGAAATAAAAGAATATCAGTCTGCTCGATGGGTATCACCTCCTGAGGCTACATGGCGTTTATTTGGTTTCCCTATTAATGAAATGACACCAGCTGTTTATCATCTTCAGTTACATTTTGAAGGACAATAATTTGTTTCTTTTAAGAGTGCATCGAGTATAAACTCAATTATGAATAATCCGATGATTAGAAAAACAATGTTAACAGAATTTTTTGAAATGAACAAAACAAATAAAGATGCAATAAAGCTCAATCTACTGTATAAAGAATTTTCACAATATTTTGTATGGTCAGTACAATATAAAATGTGGACCCGTCGAATAAAGGGTAATATCATTGGACGTGTTGTAACATCTCATCCAACAAAAGGTGAAAGATATTATCTGAGATTATTATTAATGAATATAAGAGGACCAAAATCATATGAAGACCTACTACCTGTAAATGAAGTACGTTGCGATACATTCAGAGAATCAGCTCAAAAAAGAGGACTACTTCATTGTGACAATAACTTAGCTGAATGTATGGTAGAAGCTGAGAGTTATCAAATGCCATGTAATTTGAGACGCTTGTTTGCTACATTGTTAGTATATTATGATCCTGCTAATCCAAGAGAATTGTGGGAGAAATTTAAGGACTCTATGTCTGAAGACTTCAAAATTTTACCAGACATCGGAACAAAAAATGTTCGATATAAAGTTTTAGACTGTCTCAATGACATCTTACATTCGATGGGACATAACATTAATGAGTATAAACTTATCCCTGAAAATTTCAAGGCTTCAAAGGCTGCCAAAGAAGCAAGAGAAATATTCTTCGAAAGAAACATAATCGTTACTGAAGAAGAGCTATTACTGCGACAAAAGTTGAATCGTGAACAACAGATGGCATACAATGTGATTATAGACAGAATATCTTCAAACAGAGCAGGAGCTTTTTTTGTTGACGGTCCTGGAGGAACAGGTAAAACTTTTTTATATCGTGCCTTATTAGCTACTGTGCGATCTAAAGGATTTATTGCTCTAGCAACAGCAACCTTTGGAATTGCGGCTTCGATTCTTCCAAGTGGCCGTACAGCTCATTCCCGTTTTAAAATTCCAATTGACATTGATGAAAACTTTAGTTGCAATATTAGCAAACAAAGTTCACTTGCCTGTTTGATTCGAGATGCAAAATTAATTGTATGGGATGAAGTATCGATGGCAAAAAAGAAAATGATTGAAACTTTTGATCTACTTTTGAAAGATCTCTTGAATACTAATGTGCTTTTTGGTGGTAAAGTTGTTGTCTTTAGTGGTGATTTTAGACAAACTCTACCAGTAGTTCGAAACGGAAAAAGAGAAGATTTTATTCATGAGAGTTTATTATATTCTGACATTTGGCCCCGACTTGAAAAATTGCAACTGTCAGAAAACATGCGTGCAAAAACTGATCCGGCCTTTTGTGAATATTTGATGAGAATAGGAAATGAAAAAGAACCTCTTACTTCTGAAAACAAAATTGAAATTCCAAATTCATTTATTGTCCCTTATACT